GTCGCACTGTAAGAACAGCTGCAGGTCGTCTAACCAGACCTCAAAATCAATGGCGCGACCCTCAGCGTCAAAAACTAGGACACTAGGGGTAGCCATGGCGACGACAGCGATACAGTGCAAGCAGTAGGGAAAGAGCTCGCAGTGGCAGTGGGACTGTGCTCACCAGGCAGTGCAGGTCGAGTAAGTATGCAGAAAGGCGGCTCAGCGACCTGGCGGCTCGGGTGCTGGGCGGCTCGGGCGCAGGGCGGCTCGGCTCCCGGGCGGCTCGGCGGCAGGGCAGCTCGGGGGCAGGGCGGCTCGGCTCCCGGGCGGCTCGGCGACAGGGCGGCTCGGGTGCAGGGCGGCTCGACTCCCGGGCGGCTCGGCTGCAGCGCGGCTCGGCTCCCGGTAGTAGGTGGGCGGCGGGGCCGCGCGAGAAGACGGCCGGGGCCGCTACGGAAGTAGGCGGCGGGGCCGCGGTCGAACAGGCGGTTGGCGCCGAGGTCGTAGCAGGCGGCGGGGCCGTGCAAGCAGGCAGCCGGGGCCGCGACAGGAGCGGGCGGTGGGGCCGCGGTCGAACGGGCGGCTGGGGCCGCGGCCGTAGCAAGCGGCCGGGGCCGCGATCGTAGTGGGCGGCGGCCGCGGCGTAGCGGGCGGCAGGGCCGCGTCGAGCAGGCGGCTGGGGGGCCGCGGCAGGAGCGGGCGGCGGGGCCGCGGTCGAACAGGCGGCTGGGGCCGCGGTCGTAGCAGGCGGCCGCGGCCGCGATTAGTGGGCGGCGGCCGCGGCGTAGCGGGCGGCAGGGCCGCGTCGAGCAGGCGGCTGGGGGGCCGCGTCGAGCAGGCGGCTGGGGGCCGCGTCGAGGAGGCGGCTGGGGCCGCGATCGTAGCGGGCGGGTGGGGCCGCGACTTAGCGGGCGGCTGGGCCGCGTGTGGGAGGGAGGCGACACGGAGGGTCGCTCGATAGCGGAAAAAAAAAGTTGAGCGCGCCTCGGGGCGCGCTTCGGTGGGCCCTAGGCAGAGTTCCACAGGGAACCCGCTCTATACCATGTGAAATGAGTTAGCAGGAAATGGAATGACTAAGGAAAGATTGGGTACAAATACAACCCTAGAAACCCTGTACCCCATATGTGCTACCCCACTATAGCCTACAGCAACTATGTCATATAAATCTGACAGAGGAGGAGTGAGGAGATGCGCGCTGCCGTCCCTCGACACATGGGAGACAGATAGGAGCAGGTGAGGGAGGGAGGGGAGGAAGGACCCTGGGAAGGCCAGAGACAAGGTACCGGGAGTGCATGGCACGAAGCCGCTGCACAGACGGGTGGCCAAGGCGGTGGTGCCAGAGGACAGTCTCGTGCGCTAGAGAGCGACACAAGTAGGGGGCAGACAGCTGACCTGACGCGGACGCAGACGCAGCAACCTGAGGGGACTCAGCGGTCAGTGTGTACAGGTCCGACCCCGGCTGCCGAGTGAAGGTAGCCAAGTGACGGCCCGTACGAGCACACGTACAGTGTGTCACGCGCTTGTAGGCAGGGGTGAACTGGTGAACACCCCCGTCCTGGAGCGCACATCCAGCCACCAAGTTCGTAGAGAACGAGGGGAGGTGGAGACCTGTCAGTGTGCCCGACGGGACCGCAGGACAGGGTCGCAATGACTGGACCCCCAGAGGGGTCAGCAAGGGAGACAGCAACTGGCCGAGCAAGCGGCTCAAGGGCAGTGCGGTCACGAAAGAAGCAGCGAGAAGCACCTAAGTCTAGTGTGAAGGTGTGCAATGCTGCAGTCGACTCAGTACCAAGGGGGGCAGACGCACAAGCACCTAGAGCAGCTGCCTCACCAGCACCTGGGATAGCCGACACGCGAGTACCTGGAGCGGCAGACGCACTAGTCCTAATGCCCGGGTCGGGCGGCACACACAGGTACTCAGCACCCTCTCCACTAGTAGACATCACATACATAGCAGATAGAATAGCATCAAAGTCTAGAGCATAGATATCAATCCCCTTCTTCAGGAGATCAATCCAGCGGGGCAGCTCAGTGGCCTGAGGGAACTGAACACGCCAAGCATCGTCAAGACGAGCGAAGCAGCGCTGTGTGGCGTGCGGTCGTCCACACTGCTGACCAGTGCGGTCACCAGTGCGAATGACGTAAGTGCAGCTAAAGCCACCCCCCCCCCCCCCCCCGTGCAGAGAGTACCACTCACGGACCTCCTGGGGCGACGAAGTGTGCTGCTGGCCCTGGCCACCGCCAGCGCCTCCACGACCACCACTGCCGCCGCCACCTCCTCAACTAACCCAACCCCTGCCGCCGCCTCGTCCACCGCCACCCCCACCACCGCCTCCGCCCCTGCCACCTCCCCCGCCACTGCCGCCACCACCCCCACCGCTGCCACTAGCCCCTCCAGTCGCGCCACCACCCCCACCGCCTCCACCGCCCCCACCACCGCCTCCCCCGCCGTCACCGCCACCACCCTTGCCCCCTTTGCCCTTGCCGCTGCGGCGCCCGCTGGAAGCAGACGCAGTACCAACCTTCTCAGCACCAAGGAGGTCGACAGCAGCAGAAGAGGCGACAGAGGAAAGAAGGGGGGAAGGAGAACACCCCTCAAAGAACGGGGTACGGGGGTCGCCACGAGAGGCACCTACAGCGACTATGCTAGTCTCAGCTGCAAGCAGTTCCTTCTCGAGGAGGGCAATGGTGAGCTCAGTGGGGCAGCGAACTAGGAAGTGGTCCCTGACAGCATGCAGTGTGTCAGGGAGGCGGGTGAATAGGTGGTAGAGAGTGAGCCGGAGTGGGGGGGGGTGCGTGGCAAGAAACTCAGCGGGCATGGTGGCACGGAAGCGGGCCTCACTAGTACGGAGGTGCGTGATGAGGTCAGCGACTGTGTGGAACGAGGCTAGGTCGGGAAATAGGTAAGGGAGGGAGAGACGGCCTAGCGCGGCAGAGGCAGGTGAGGAGTAGCGAGCAACGACAGCTGTGTACAGTGCCTGTGCAGTCTTGTGCTGGCCAAAGTGCTCGCGTTCGTCTATCGGCAGGGAGTTGCGAATAGCGAAGCGAGCGTGGGCATCACGAGTCTGCCACTGTGAGCGAGCAGTGCTGTCACCAGTAGCAGCAGGGGCAGTGACATGGCCTAGGGCGTGGTCGTACAGTGAGATGTCGTCCTTGGCTGTGAGCTGTAGATAGAGGTGCAGGTCATCTAGCCAGGTGTCAAACTTCACTGGGCGGCCCTCAGCATCGAAAACTAGAACCTGTGGGCTAGCCATAGGAGCAGTAGAAGTAGCAGCAGTAGGAGGAAGAGGAAGCAGGTAGGGCGGCTCGGTTCAGGTAGGGCGGCGCGGCTCGGGTGGGGCGGCGCGGTTCGGGTCGGGTCGCGCGGTTCGGCTTGGGTCGCGCGGCTCGGTTCGGTCCCGGGCTGTGGCGGTTAAGGGCCACTCGGGGCCTCTAGGGGCGAGCGTTGGGCCTTTCGGGGCCTCTAGGGGCGGTGGGCGCGGGGCCGACGGGGCCGATCGGGGCCTCTAGGGAGGTGAGCGCGGGGCCTTAACGGGGCCTGTAGGGGCCGACGGGGCCGTTCGGGGCCGACGGGGCCGTTCGGGGCCGCTAGGGAGGTGAGCGCGGGGCCGTAAAGGGGCCTCTAGGGGCCGACGGGGCCGTTCGGGGCCTCTAGGGAGGTGAGCGCGGGGCCGACGGGGCCGTAAGGGGCCTCTAGGGAGGTGAGCGCGGGGCCGACGGGGCCTCTAGGGGCGATCGCGGGGCCGAAAGGGGCCGCTAGGGGCGAGCGCGTGGGCCGTTCGGGGCCTCTAGGGGCGGGCCGACGGGGCCTTAAAGGGCCGTGAAAACCGAGGCGTCCTAAGGCGCAGTTAGGTAGGTAGTGGTGGGCCCTAAAAAATCGGTCCTAGGAAGGACCTGCTCTATACCATGCTAGAATCAATGAATAGGAATGAATGAACTAAGAGTGAAAACAGTACAAATACCTAACCCTAGAAATGTGTACCCCCTATAGGCTAACCCACTGTAGCATAAACAAGCACAACAAGATATATAATGTTTGACAAGTCTAGCTTTTAACAACTAACTTACGTCTACTTAATAGCATAGGGTTCTGACCTGTTAGTGGTAGGTAGGAGCAGCGTGACTTGAGGGTGTACGTTGGGAAAAGCTCCAGCAGTGAGAGGAAAGGGAGGGAGGAGAAAAAGAGCATTCAAACCCTAAAGTAGCGTCAAATTCGTCGCGCTTATTTCTTACGTTAGTCCTAGTCTAGCTTATAATCATCTAAGTTAGTCCTAGTTGATAGCTTAGAACGTTTCTCACCTTATCGTGGTACTAGCTCGTGACTGGGGGGCGGGTGTCAACCAAGCTCCACCAGCAAGGGAAGAAAAGGAGAAATTGAAACTCTTGGGCTGGTTCAATCTCGTCGCAATAATAGTTGTGTAATAAATTGCGATGTTATACATCGCAGATGCTTTGGCGGAGACGGTAGAAAATGGTTAAGTAATTGAGAGGCTCGGGTTCGAAACATGTGAAAGCCAGTTTTGAACCTACAATAAAGATAATATTTCATAGGTCATAAAAAGCGGGGAAAATATGTCAATGGTAACTTACATGGGGCACTGTAACACGTACGGTAACGGTTTCGTCGCGTTTGGTAACCCGCTGAGCGTATTTGGTAACTCGCTTAACGCGTTTGGTAACTAGCTTAACACGTTTGGTAACTATACACTAGCAGCCCATCACGCGAATGGTAACTTCGATGAAATCAACTCTGACATGACCCTGATTTGACGGTTTCCTGCTCGCACCAAACCAAACCACGAGCTGTGATGCACCCACGTCCTCCTGAACCACGTTCGCCTCTCAACCGAACCAGAACCAAGCGTGTTGTACACCGCGTGCACACTAAGATCAACCCAACCTGCTAAGCTACAAGTTCCTCGTTGCCCCACCAGATAGCTCCCCGTCATCCTGCTCTAGCCCTATCACACCAGAATGCTCGCCGCTGGGCGCGTAGCGCGCATCTCGCGGCCAGCGCTATGCGCCAAGCTATGCGCATTCCGCCTCTCTCGCGGCCAGCAATGCGCTCAGCGGATTTCTCACCGCTGGGCGCATTGCGCCTCTCTCGCGGCCACCAATGCGCTCAGCGGATTGCTCACCGCTGGGCGCATTGCGCCTCTCTCGCGGCCAGCAATGCGCTCAGCGGATTGCTCACCGCTGGGCGCATTGCGCCTCTCTCGCGGCCACCAATGCGCTCAGCGGATTGCTCACCGCTGGGCGCATTGCGCCTCTCTCGCGGCCAGCAATGCGCTCAGCAGATTGCTCACCGCTGGGCGCATTGCGCCTCTCTCGCGGCCAGCAATGCGCTCAGCGGATCGCTCACCGCTAGGTGCATTGCGCCTCTCTCGCGGCCAGCAATGCGCTCAGCGGATCGCTCACCGCTGGGCGCATTGCGCCTCTCTCGCGACCAGCAATGCGCTCAGCGGATCGCTCACCGCTGGGCGCATTGCGCCTCTCTCGCGGCCAGCAATGCGCTCAGCGGATTGCTCACCGTTGGGCGCATTGCGCCTCTCTCGCCCTGGCAATGCGCTCAGCGGATTGCTCACTGCTGGGCGCATTGCGCCTCTCTCGCGGCCAGCAATGCGCTCAGCGGATTGCTCACCGCTTGGCGCATAACTCCTCTCGCGGCCAGAGCTATGCGCCCAGCCGAATGCTCATTGCTGGGCGCATAGCTCCTCTCGTGGCTAGAGCTATGCGCCCAGCCGAATGCTCATTGCTGGGCGCACAGCTCCTCTCGTGGACAGAGCTATGCGCCCAGCCGAATGCTCATTGCTGGGCGCATAGCTCTTCTCGAGGCCAGAGCTATGCGCCCAGCCGAATGCTCATTGCAGGGCGCATAGCTCCTCTCGTGGCCAGAGCTATGCACCCAGCGGAATGCCTCTCTTGCTCCCCATCACACGCTGTCTTCTCCCCTATCCTCCAGCCTCATCCCTTGACATTCACATTTCCATTCCCTCGTATGCCATTCATCGCTATAACCCCTGCCCTACCTCTCACCCTCCTTCTTGTCCTCTATCTCCATTCCCCTGTTCCATCTCTTTCCCCTTCCCCTCCACCTCCCTCTGAATCACAGCGCGCAGCGCTTGGCGGTGCTGTTCATGTGCATTCTGAGCCACGTGCGGCGGAGCAACCCCAACTTCAATAGAAACCTGGTGGAGTCGCTCTACTGCAACTAGTTTCCAGGCACCCTCCCTCTGTCTACTGGGACGACTACTTCGCCCCACAGCCATTCCGATTAGAGCCATACGACCTACTCACCAACATCGTCAAGGTGCGCCCACTCCCTCACTTCACTTTACTTGAACTGCCCTGCCCTTGATGACTTCCAGAAACATGTGACTGCTCCCCCGTGGGGGCTCACCGCTCACCAACCTCATCCAGGTTTAGGGACTCACTCACTGCACTTCAACTTTTCTGCCTTGGGCGTCTCTCACGCGGCCAGCTATGCGCCCAGCGCAGAATGAGAGACCGCAGGCCGAGTATTTTACCCTCTCATCCCTGCTCATGCAATCCCTTGCCTTATGTGAGGTCAGGCCATGCACGTGCATTTCAGAATAGAACTGGCATGTTTCAGACCATGCACATGCAAATATCAGTATGGGATGGCACGGGATGAGCTCGGGGATCGGAATTCACTGGGATGGCTGCCTTGCCCACCTCCCCCCAAACCCCAAACCCCAAGGCTCCGTGGGGATGAACAGGCCTGGCCAAACCGGGCCAGGCCTAAGGCCGAACCTGGCCAGCACCCGGCCAGACCGCTGAGTGAGGGGGAAAGAGTGGGGGATGATGGAGGCAGCACGCTTGTATTCAGCCCCTCACTGTCCCTCTTGTTATTTCTCACGCCCTACTCTTCCCTCTCATCCTCTCTCGTCCACTATCCAGCCCTCGAATTCCGGGTTTAGTTATACCCTCTTTGACCTGTTATCCCATCGGGTTTTGTCCCCTCCCCTATCTTCCTCTCTCATCTCCTCTCTCATTCTGAACCCATGTCCTACCATTCATCCCCATTTTTGTCCTCTCATGCAAGCCCCGCCTTATTCATACCCGCACATCCCCTTTTTTGTCCTGAGATGCAATCCCCTCAGTATCAAATCCATCTCTCCCCTTTTTTGTCCTCGCTTGAGCTCCTCCCTAACATACCCTCTCATCCCCTTTGATGTCCTTGTCTGCGCTTGTGCCTCTAAACCTACTACCAAAGGGCTTCTTGTTATTCCTATCAATCTATCTTTTGCCGATCGAGATATACCAACCCCCTTATCCAGCCTTCTTTTACAATTACCTTCTCTCTCATCACGTGTTACCCAATTCTTGTCGCATATCCTGCCCTCTAGTCCCCACACATTCTCTCCCATATGCTACTAGTACCCCACATGCCAGACCTTCCCCAAACATACCCTCTTACACCCTCTCCTGCTCCCATGAGTGAATCTGCCCTCAAATTTCTCTCATCCACTCAAACCCTCGTTATCCCATCCCAGGCTGTTCCCATCCCTATCCATCCCCCTCCTCATCCCCTCACCTTCTCAGTTACATCCCCTCTTATGTTGTTTCATGCCATACCATACCCCTGCTATACCCTCCCCCATCCTGCCAGGGTACCCCAGATCCTTACCCCACATGCTATGCCATTTCCAATCCTACACTCCCCTCCTCTCTCCTGCTCTCTCTTATGCCCTCCCCTGCTACACCGTCACCTGTCACACTCTCTCGACCTGTCGCATTCTGTTTCGCATCCCCACTTCTGTCATCTCATGCCATCCAGTCACCCATCCAGGGTTGATGCCCTCTCATTCACTATCACACTGTATCTTTCCCTCACATGCAGTTTTGTCGGCCCACAAACTTTGCGGATATAATCTCACGTCCCTTCACCCCATCTCAAATGCCTAATCCTAACCCCTCTTCCCCTCTTTTTCCCTCATATCTCCTGTTATTCCCTCTTAATCGATCGCGCCGCACCTTCACCCCTCTTATCCCCCCTAAATTTCTATGCTTATGCAGTAATATCCTGTCAGATGCTACGCCATTCTCTACCTTGCATTCATTTCCCATTCCTTCTCCACCTAGACTTCTCCGATTCTAGGTCTGATACGTCGAACTGCCCTCACTCATCTGCTTATCTGACCTCCTACACCTTCTCGCACCTACTCTCTTTATTGTTCAGCACTTGAGACCCCGGCTGTGGGGATCATGTCTCGCATCCAGCGTTCCAGGTGCGACCTCATTCCTGAAGATCAGTTTGTATTTTATCAATTGCTATGACAAAGCAACTGTGATTAACACCTGTACCAATACACCTGGATATGTAGCATAATATTTCTACTCCATTCCTCCTGTTTTCGAACCCCCAGAGTCCTTCAACAGCGTATGGGCGATGTAGTCAACATCTACCAAGGGAAGGTCTACACTAATGCAAGCGTGGCGAGGGAGGAACTGTTGTTGTTCTGTCGGCAGCAAATGTTTTTGCCGCGCTTTCGTTATAGCCGCCCAAACCTCATAGTGTTGCAGTGTAACACAGTGCACCGCCATCCGACAGTGGCGGTGCACAGTGAGGAGGATGGGCTGTGCTCATTTTGTGTTGTCATAAGGGGAGTTGGTAGCGGCAGCCTCGAGGTAACGGTGGCAAGATTAGAGCATGACGTTTGGTGTACCGCCAGCCGTGCAATTGTCTGAGTAGAGGTTGTAATGAGATAGCGCTATTGTGCAATGAGATATTATGAAAAGCAAGATGACTTGGAGGGGTAGGACAGGTTGGCACATCTGCATGGGCATAGTGTAGATCGTGAGATGCTGTATAAGCTAATGGCGTGTTGTAATTCAAACCATTGTTAGCTCCAGGTTTGTAGAACTACAATTACCCAAACATCACAGGACAAATACACATGTCTTCGCGACAAGATGCTTCTGTATGTGGTTGTTATGGAGTTCGAGAAATCCTGATGCATGGCAAACACGAACATAACACTTCCCTTCCCACATCCTGTTGTATAAATGCCCACCAACCATGACTTTTCAATCATGATGACACACTAGGCAAGCTGGGCCATGTTGTTGTATGCTCACTAGATGCGCACCTATTGTTGTCATGCTTGTCACACTAGGCTTGACTTTTAGAATGTACATAACGTTAAGTGTCAACACCATCGTGTGCTCCTACTGTGGACAAACACTGGTGGCCATTGCCCTTTTCCGCCTACGGTACTTCTCTGGCTTTTGCCCATTCTGTCACTCTCTCTTCCTATCCATCCCCAGCTTCTCAGGTTGATTCGTGATTTATTACAGGTGCACTATATGCGGGATGAGACACCTTGTGTTCTGGACTCTTGCTACCGATGAGTTTAGGGGCTGTATGCTCTCTTTTTGTGCGTGAAATAGAATATCCAGCGTAGCATGTTACGAACGAAACCAGCCTATCTGATTTACAGGGTGGAATGTGAGTTTATTCATATTCACCAATGGACAAGTAAAGTCTCACACACAGTTTAATGTGAACCTAGCAAGTGTATACTTGACTAATTGTGCTGATGGTTATATAGATATGTAAACCTACAAGAGGAGGATCTGTGGGACGCACGTTTGAGGTTTGCCACACCCACGCTATGGTCACAATCCTTCTATTTAATAAAAGACATAATGCACACCTAATACTGCTGATTATTGCCATCACCGTTCTCAGCTCCACCCTGTTCTGTTGACCAAGTACGAACTCCAGTCACCAACCCGTCCACCCGACTCTGCTGTGGCATACCTACATGGCTCCAACGGTTTAGGATGCCTCCTGAGTTCTCCTGCATTGGCATCCCATACAATCCCCACCGTTGATCGATACCACTGTTACTAAATTGCCTTTGTAACAACCCTCCCATTCCCTGCTGCCCGCCCATTCCCTGCTGCCCGCCCATTCCCTGCTGCCCGCACCTTCCCTGCTGCCCACCCCTTCCCTGAGGCCCTCCCATTCTCTGTGGCCCTCCCATTCCCTGTGGCCCTCCCATTCCCTGTGCCCCTCCCATTCCCTGTGCCCCTCCCATTCCCTGTGGCCCTCCCATTCCCTGTGGCCCTCCCATTCCCTGTGGCCCTCCCATTCCCTATGGCCCTCCCATTCCCTGTGGCCCTCCCAATATCTGTGGCTCTCCCATTCTCTGCCGCCCAACCATTCTCTGCTGCCCGCCCATTTCCTGCGCTCCTCCCATTACCTGTGCCCCTCCCATTCCCTGTGCCCCTCCCATTCCCTGTGCCCCTCCCATTCCCTGTGCCGCTCCCATTCCCTGTGCCCCTCCCATTCCCTGTGGCCCTCCCATTCCCTGTGGCCCTCCCATTCCCTGTGGCCCTCCCAATGTCTGCGGCTCTCTCATTCTCTGCAGCCCTCCCATTCCCTGCTGCTCGCCCATTCCCTGCTGCCCTCCCAAACAATCTGGCCCCCCCATTCCCTGCTGCCAACCCATTCCCAGTGCCCCCCCCATTCCCTCTTGCCAACCCATTCCATGTGGCCCTTCCATTCCCTGCTGCCAACCCATTCCCAGTGGTCCCCCCATTCCCTGCTGCCCACACGTGCCATGCTGCCCTTGCATTCCCGGCTGCCCTTCCAACCCTTGAAGCCCTCACGTTTCCTCCTGCCCATCCCTCCCTTGCTGCCCTCCCCTTCCTTGCCTCCCTCCTCTCCCTTGCTTCCCTCCCCTTCCTTGCCTCCCTCCTCTCCCTTGCTGCCCTCCCCTTCCTTGCCTCCCTCCTCTCCCTTGCTGCCCTCCCCTTCTTTGGCGCCCTCCCCTATCAGGACCTTCCAAACAATCTGCGCCTCCTCCTTCTTCTGTGGAAGACACCACCCCGGACCTGCCTCTACCTCTCCCTCCACCCCTTCCCCGTTGATTTCTACCTCGTCCACGCCCTTCCTCCGAACGCCCCACATGCACATCGCCGTCGCCTACGTGCCCCACCACTTCCCTCTGTATGTTGAGACATTGCAACCTCCGTAATCGCCCCCGAACCACGTCGTCCGCACTCCTCAGGCCACCCCCCTTTGAAGTTCCCTCACCAGTACTACTTCCTTGCGCACCACCCAAGTGCAACCCTTCGGAACCGGCCCCCATATCATCCGTCACTGTTTCGGGAGGGAGATCCCCGGCAGGTACAAGCACCCTCCCAAATATTTCCGTCAACACCGAATCTGCCGGTGTGCTCCCATTCTCCTCTCCATCCCCCTCATCTTCCCCGCTGCCCGACTCCTCGTCCGGTTCGCTCTCATCGTCACTCTCACCAGTGGTATGGATACAACGAATACCTCTCTGATGACTTCGGTTACATGCGCTACAAGGGGCTACATGTACCGCGCCGTCCGCCGTGGTCATCGTCTGCACAGCCAATTGCCCTGCTGGGGTTTGTAATGCCTCCCACAACACCCGGTTCGTAGCCCGGACCTCACATGTCCTAGAGTTATGCCCCATCTCACCACATTTGCCACACTTGCGTAGTTTGATAGGGTCAACCTCTCCTGTCGAGCGAATCCTGTTCTTTTTTTGCCGGCCTGCCCTTTTGGAGTAGACTGGCGGTAGAGTAATGCCATCCGGGATCACTGACGTGGGGTCGAGGGTCCGAATCGGGGTCTTGTACACCTGCTGCAGCGCCGAAACCGTGTGGCTGTTGTGTATCACAGCGTGGGCCTTGTGCCCTGCATTCTTGAACACAGCAAAAATGTGGACGCACGGCAGCCCATATTCCCTGATGTTGGGGTATGGGGGTATTGGTGTTGTGGAATAGGATGGTTGGTTATTGAAATGATTGGTCAAAGAAACACATACACGTAGTCATGCGCTCAAGCTGTAGACGTAAAGAAACAGTCCCATATGTGGCATACAGTCCCTCCCATCCATGGCCACCACTTTTTCCCTTGCTGCCCCCCCTTATGTCGTCGTCCCCCTTTCGCATGCTGCCCTACATTTGCTTGCTGATCCAGCCCGTGTTGTTTGGCACAATATCCCTCCCTCCATCGATCTGACCCCCTCTCCTACTGCCTCACTTTCCATTGTTGCCCTCCTATGCCCTTCCTTGCTGACCCCATTTCTTGCTGCCCCCATCTCCCTTGATGCCCTGCAAGATCCCCCCCCCCCCCGCCCCCATGCTGTCTTCACATTCCCTGGTGCTCCCCAAACCTTGCTGCCCCCATTCCCTTGCTGCCTGCCCTACTTATTGCACCCCTTGCTCTTGCTGGGCTCCCATGTCTTACCTGGTGTAACCACACGTGCAGCTGGTTGCTGAAGGATTGTTGGGGTTAGTAGTCACGACTCTCGATTCCACCTTCAGCTCCCCCTCTCCTCGGCTCACAATGAAACGGTTCTCGCCGGACCCTTCAGCATCGTATCTCTTCCTTTCGTTGCAGTTTGCCTTGATAATTGGTCGTGTCCTTGGCGGGAAGACCGCATCAGTGAGTTGTGAGTACTCGAGGCGCCTCTTTTCAATACTCTTTGAGAGCTTGGCCGTCAAGAGGTGCAACACTTGAGGGGGACTTTTGTCACGCAGCCCTGAGAGTGATGCGTGGTGTGACTCAACGGGATTGGAGGTCATGCAGCCAAAACGCGGAGCACCGAAGTGCGCCGAGGCCCACTTCTTATGCAAATTGTTGTCAACAAGATATGCCCTCCCACCAGGGCATTCTTGCTCGATTTTCTCCATCGTTTTGTGGTAAACCCCCGGAGTAAGAGCCGCTGCAGCTGCAAGGATCCTCCCATCCAAGTCTGTCCGAAACTTGTTTTTGAAATTGCGCACCAAATGAGTGATGCAATATGACTCCCGTATTAGGGGGAGACAAGCTGATGTCGCCGACTTCCATGCACCTCCCCTATCATGCATAATCGCAAAATCGGGGGAGTTCACCTCCGGTACTGCCTCTAGCAAGAGTTGAAAGAGAAAGGTACACGACTGCTTGTTCTCACCCTCGACCCACGCACACCCCAACCTAACAAGCTGGTGTTGACTGTCCAGCATGCAAATGTTCAAAGTGTAACCCCCCCATCTCGTCTTATTATGACAACCATCTGCAAAAAGGATAGGCAAACAGTTCATCACAGACTCCTTGGCACCTGGATAGATGACATCGGCCCGATAGAAGTTGTTACCCCGCCTCACCAATGACACTTTACACGACGGATTTTCGACCTCAAACTTTCTCAGCAGGTCCTCCATGTACTCGAATCCTTTATCTCCCCCAAAAAGCTCATCATCACTCAACTCCCAAAGCACCTCCCGTGCGAGAGCATAAGAACACTGCACACCCAGCACCTGATGAACACGGCTCATCAACGCTGCCGGTCTAACCTCGCCGTGCATTCTCATCTCACGTGCAACCTCTATCACCTCTTCCCGTTGTGTCAAACATTATATGTTTGTGTGTTTCTAGGCTGTAGTGTGTCACACCAGAGGGGGTACACCAGTTTAGGGTTTCATATTTGTACTGTTGTTCTTGCTAGTCACACACATTCCTGTTTCTCATCTGACATGGTATTACGAGCCTAGGTTCCACCTAGGACCGGAACGTTAGGGCCCACCGTTTCCGCTAGCCGCGCCCTCGTGCGCCGCCTTTTCCTCGCGCCCTCGTGCGCCTCGTTCCTAGCGTCGCCCCTTCAGGCCCCTCACGGCCCCTCGCGTCGCCCCTTACGGCCTCTCACGGCCCCGTCTTAAGACCCCGCGCTAGCCCCTTAAGGCCCCGCGTCGGCCCCGCGCTAGCCTCTCACGGCCCCCTATGGCCCCGCGCGGCCCCGTGTAGCCCCGCGCTAGCCTCCCACGGCCCACCTACGGCCCCGCGCTAGCCTCCTACGGCCCCGATTGGCCCCGCGCTAGCCTCGAACGGCCCCGTGCGGCCCCCGCGCTAACCTCCCACGGCCCCGTAAGGCCCCGCGCTAGCCTCCCACGGCCCCTTCAGGCCCCGCGCTAGCCTCTCACGGCCCCTTAAGGCCCCGCGCTAGCCTCCTACGGCCCCCACATGGCCCCGCGCTAGCCCCGACCGGCCCCCGAACGGCCCCTCCCGCGCTCGCCCCTCTACGGCCGAGCCGCACAGCGCGACCCCAGCTGCACCGCGCGACCTGAGCCGAACCGCGAGACCCAGCCGAGCCGCGCCGCCCCAGCCGAGCCGCGCCGCCCTAGCCGAGCCGCGCCGCCCTAGCCGAGTCGCGCCGTCCTAGCCGGGCCGCGCCCTCCTTACCTGAGCAGCAGCACCACTACTGCTACTGCTACTGCTACTACTACCAATGCTGCTGCTGCTACTGCCACTGCTACTGCTACTTCTGCTACTGCTACTTCAGCTATGGCTAGCCCTCCAGTTCTCTCGTTCGATGCTGAGGGCCGCCCGATTAAGTTTGAGACTTGGCTCGATGATCTGCACCTGTTCCTCCAGCTCACTGCCAGAGAGGATATCTCGCTGTACGATCACGCACTAGGCACAGTCCCTCCTCCTGCTACTACTGCTGCTGCTACTGCTCGCTCACAGTGGCAAACTCGCGATGCCCACGCCCGCTTTGCTATTCGCAACTCCCTGCCAGTCGACGAGCGCGAGCACTTTGGCCAGCATCAGACTGCGCAGGCCCTGTACACTGCTGTAGTTGCGCGCTACTCCTCCCCGGCCTCAGCTGCACTAGGCCGCCTCTCGCTTCCCTACCTGTTCCCCGACCTGTCCGCCTTCCAGACAGTCGCTGACCTCATCACTCACCTCCGCACTAGTGATGCCCGCTTCCGTGCCGCCATGCTCGCTGAGTTTCTTGCCTCCAACCCTCCCCCGCTCTGGCTCACTCTCTACCACCTAGTCACCCGCCTCCCTGACACTCTGCGTACAGTCAGGGACCACTTCCTAGCTCACTGCCCCACTGAGCTCACCATTACCGCCCTAGAGAAGGAACTACTTGCAGCTGAGAAGAGTATTGTAGCTGTAGGTACCTCTCGTGGCGACCCCCGCACCCCTTTCTTCGAGGGGTGTTCCCCCTCCCCCCTGCTCCCCTCTGTTGCCTCTGCTGCTGCTGTCGACCTCCTTGGTGCTGAGCAGGTCGGCTCTCCGTCCGCTCCCAGCGGGCGTCGCAGCGGCAAGGACAGGGGAGGCAAGGGCGGTGGGGGTGACGGCGGGGGAGGCGGTGGTGGGGGTGGTGGCGGCGGTGGGGGTGGTGGCGGGGCTTGAGGGGCTAGTGGCAGCGGTGGGAGTGGTGGAGGCAGCGGCGGCGGCGGTGGCCGGGGTGGGGGCGGTGGTGGTGGCGGCAGTGGACGTGGAGGCGGCAGGGGCGGTGGTGGTCGTGGTGGAGGCGGCGGTGGTGGTCGTGGAGGCTCTGGCACTGGCCAGAGCGCGCAGCACCCTTAGTCCTCCCAGGAGCTTCGTGAGTGGTACTTACAGCACGGGGGTGGGAGGGGTAGCCTTAGCTGCACGTACGTCATCCGCACTGGTCGCCGCAAGGGACAGACGTGCGGGAGGGCGCACACTGCGCAGCGCTGCTTCTCTCGCCTAGATGACGCGTGGCGTGCTCAGTTTCCTGACGCTCCTGAGCTCCCTCAGTGGGCTGATCTCCTCAAGAAGGATATCGATATCTATGCTCTTGATTTTGATGTTATTCTCAAAGCCATGTATGCATTGACTATTAGTGGAGAGGAGGACCAGTACCTGTGTGTTCCGCCTGACCCAGGCATCCGCACGAGTGAGGCTGCAGCCCTAGGTGCTTGCGTGTCTGCTGCCCCAGGTGCTAGTGAGGCTACTGCTCTAGGTGCTTGTGTGTCCGCCACCCCAGGTACTACTGAGTCCACTGAGGCACTGCACACCTTCACTCTAGACTCAGGCGCTTCGCGCTGTTTCTTTCGTGACCGCACTGCTCTTGAGCCCCTTGCTCGACCAGTCGCTGTCTCGCTCGCTGACCCCTCTGGGGGTCCGGTCATTGCGACCTCCTCCAC